AAAAAAAAAGTCCACCTCTAATATTTTGTGCCAACATTGTGCACGTTTGTGTTTTGGGTGCACCAAGGATAGAAACAGCAAGGCGAAAAGATGCAGACCCCTGCACAGTACCGCCGCCCTACGCAGTTCTTGGATCTAGCCGAGGAGTCCAAGTCCGTCCTGTTAGAGCTCGGGGCCATTCTCAACCAGCGATACCGGAACCGGGGGCCTAGTCATCAGACGCAGCGAAGTCTCCAACGCAAGAACGAGGCCGTTAGTCGGCTGGATCAATTTATCATTGACCAGCAGAGAGTCTGTGAGAGGGAGGAGAGAGCGGAACGAGAAAATGCAGAGCAGAGAGCTACTATTGAGCGTCTCGAGAAGCAGCTTGAAGACCAACGCGCAGATTTCGACCAAGAGCGTGCGCGTCTGCAGCAGCAGGCAACAAGCACATTAACCGCTCAAGCAGACCTGAATTCGTCCCTTAATAGAGTACTTCCCCAATTACGGGGTCTGCTAAAGGCTTACGACCGAGAGCAAGGGCAGTATTCGAATCTACGACAAGACATGTCAACAAGAATAGTTACAATTACGGACGAAAGTTGCTCAAACCAGTCTTTAACTCGACAACTTAACGAGCTAAGAACTGCTTTCGACGAAGAACGCGCTCAGCTACTGGAGCAAGCGAGCGACGCAGTGAAGACGCAACAGGAGATCAGTCGCAAGAACTTGACGGAAAGGGAGACGGCGCTGACTTGTCCGATTTCCCTAGATCTGTTCGAGAACCCTGTGCTCACGACTTGCTGTGGCAAGACTTTTTCTTCAGAGGCACTAACTCAAGCTCTAAAGCGAAATGATCAATGTCCGGTTTGCCGTGCGCATAGAGTATTAACTCATGCAAACCGCGACATGGCAAATTTGGTGGAACTTCACCGCTCAGAGCGCTCGTTGCTTGGTTTGCCTGAAAATGCTGCAGCCAACTCAACGAATACAGCGCCAGGTGCCGATGAGAGGTCGATTGAGACAGAAAGACCCATTGCAACGCCAAGTGGCTTGATGACTTCAGCTTTTCGTGAGAGTCAGAACCGAAACTCACGAAGTCAACGCGTTCAAGCTCGTGCTGCGGTTCCCCATCGCCAACCGTCGAGTACTACTGCGCAATCTGAAGCTGATACTCTACCAAGTACTGCCCTTAGCTCTAGGGGACAACGTCGCGGAGGGAGGAACTCGAATTCACGTCGTCGTCGAACGTCACGTACACGGTCTTCATCGACGCCAACTGCTACATCTCATCGATCGGTGTCAAGTACCAGCACGACGCCGAGTTCTTCAGGTAGCGCTTCACTATTGAGTGCAATGCAAAGTCTCACTAGGGACTGGAGATCGAGTAACTTGCGCCTCTGTCGTCAACGACTGGAAGTGGTGCTACTGGCAATGCTACGACTCAGGCTTACGGGTCAACTGCTGACGCCTACTCGAACCCGAGGTATTCTACTCTCGATTCGTACTACCAGCAGAGATCGTTAGCACAATCAAGCAATCCTACACGCTACGGCCGCGCACCTACAGACGACGAGTTTAACTTTTACCCATCGGCTCACATGGAATATTACGGTTCAGACTCGGACTACTAGTTGCGGCGTAATGCCAGCAAACTGGTACTCTGAGCGTTTAATAGTATATGCTTGACTTAACAACAATTGTTTGTGATTTCAAGTCGTATTTTCATTGAAGGTTCGTACCTTTCGGACTTCTTCAGACCAAAATCGTGCCCAGTTGTGAAAGAGTCAAATACTGCCGATCATGGAGACAAGCTACGTATTGTCACGCTACGGTTGCTTTTAGTCCATTTCACTGTGCACAATCACTCCACGATGGGACGCGGCATCCAAAGCAAACAGTTCGATGCCTTTCATTTTTCAAAACGCGATCGAATCAAAGAGAAGCTGTACTTGAATTTCCATGTCGTTGCAACTTGAGCATGACCGGCGAGTTTATTTCCTTGAGCAGCAGGTCAAAGATCTGGAACAGCATCTCCGAAGTGAGTGTGAGTCGTCCGTGAAGACCCAATTCCAGCTCATGCAGCAAGTTGCCGATCTGAAAAAGACGCTCCAGCTGAAAGAACAGACAACGAACTACCTAAATCAACAACTAAATGAAACGCTGAGTGCGTATCGAGCACAACGCCAGCGTGCAGACAAGTTGCAGCTCGAAATCGGCAGCAGCACTGTGCAAAATCAACGGGAACAAGCGTTGAGAGAGCTTATCAAACGACAAGTGCAGCAGATTCGTGAGCAACGGCAGCGTGCAGACCAGTTGCAGCTCGAAATTGACAGTAAAGCCGTACAAGATAAACGCGAACAAGCGCTGAAAAAGCATATCCAGAAGCAAGAGCAGCAGATCCGTGAACTGCAGGCAGCTCTTTCGGAATCTACGTCTCGCTTAATTGAACAGCAGAAGACGAACGAGCGACTTCAAACGAGTATTGAGCTGCTGGAAATGCGCTCTGAGGATGAGAATGTGCTGCTTGAAGACGAGCGAGCGCATTTGGGTGACCAACTAGAGTCAAGTGATGAAGCGCTGCAGATTGGGACCGAAGTCCAGGCACCCATGGCTAGTACGAACGCTGGTGAGTATACAGATCAAGTTCTAAGTGAGCGTCTAAATGAGCAACTTCGTGAATTCGAGCAAGAGCGAGCACAGCTGCTGGAACAAGCGAGC